CACTAAAAACGAATAAATAAGCAACCACAGTGAATCTGCATAGGTTGGTAAAAAAAAACCTTCCATATCCGTTTCAGGTTCGATCCAGATTTCGTTTGCAACGCGTCGGACAACTCTGGCCGATATTCGTACAAGGCCCAGCCGGCTATCTGCAGGTGGAACCTGGTGAAGCTGGCAGAGGCCCTGGCTCCAGAGTTGCCACCAGATCGAGCAAAGGCTGTGATAGACGAATACCTGGATCAGTTCAACCGCTTCTACCTGGAGAACATGAGGAAGAAACTGGGTTTGCTGAGAAAGGAGGAGCCCGAGGACGAGATCCTGATCACTGAGCTGCTGCGTACAATGCACGACACAGGTCGGCCTTCCAGCGTGGGATGTTTGCACTAAATCAAAAGAGTGTCAATTGACTCATTTTGCATTTCTTTCCTGCAGGTGCTGACTTCACGAACACCTTCCGTAACTTGGCTCAGATTTCCTGTCCGTCAGAGGGAGAAACGGAGCGAGACGAGGAGATCGTTAGGAAAGCCGCAGAACTCCTCCTGGAGCAGTGTGCGTCTTTAGAGGAGCTGAAGTCAGCCAACACACCCACAATGGATCCACGGTGAGGCACACGGATAATAAACAAAGATAATGGATAGGAAAAAAATGGCATGTTCAGCAGAACTGTGTACATTTTGAGAAGAATATGTGTAGCTGATTAAAACTAAGCATCTGAGGAAAACTGTTTTTGCTTGTCAGAAGATGGTTCTCTCGTGTTTACCTATGCGACAACGTAGGAAAACGCATTATCAACAAATTTTGATTTGAAATTCATTCATTACATTTAGCAAGGACGGTAAAACGCCCTGTTTAAAATGTGATGGAGAAAAATGCTACATTTTGTAAAAAAAAAAAATTCCAGAATTATACAAAATGCTAATTATGCAAAAAATAAATTGCATATGATATCAGAGTCTTTTGACAGAATTAAATATAGTTAAACTGTGAGCTGTAACATGGAGGTGCCGTTGTCTCTTAGCTCTAAGAGTTGTCATCTCCAGTACTCCAAAGATCTGATTAAAATGCATAAGTACTGGTTTTATAATTATCTATGCATTTACTTCATTTAATGTAGTTCACATTTCTGACTCAAGAGGGCATTGGTGATGTATTGTGTTTATGTTTTGTGGAAATACTCACTTCGTTTTTCATCAGGACTTTGCATCTACCACTACTGCCAAAGGTTCTGATGTTTAATGATCATGATGTCACTTTGTTAGACTGACCAATAAACCGACCTGACCTGAACCTTGTAAAGAATCTGTGATTTTGTACGGATGGTTATTGCCTATAACACAGTCCCGCTTTCTTTCTGTACGTCAGCGTTCAGACTCTCTGCCCCGTTACGACTCATTTTTCGATCTGTTTGGTTGACAGTGAGCTGTCAATGCTGCTGTCCATGGCTCAGAGCAACCCCGCTCTGTTTGAGATGATCTCGGACAGGGCGACCATCGCGAGACAGCTGGACAGAATGAGCAAACTGAAGGTCCTGCTGGAGACGAGTCAGGACGAGCTGAGGGCCAGGCAGGCTCAGGAGTGGACCTCCTGGATCGCCCTCTACAGGTGAGACGCTTCACCTGAGAGAGACTCGACAGGAAAATGGCTTGCTGTGAGAAAAAGGCCGCGCAAGGACAGAGTGTGGGAGTTTTTTTTTTTGTTGTTGTTTTTTTTTCTCCTGGCTAGTGATGGGTGGAAGTCTGACTGATAAAGGGGGCGGACAGACAGGGAGGAAATGTTGTTTCCAGGCGGACAGCGTCCCATTACTGTAACTGAGTGTTTCCGCCTTATCGTCCCTGCACAGGAAACGTCTGGCCCGCGAGCTGGAGGGTCAGAGCGACGTGCAGGCCGTGCAGGAGGAGAGGGCGAGCGTGATGGACGGCGCCAACCCTCGCGTAGTGCTCAGAAACTACATTGCCCAGAATGCAATAGAGGCTGCCGAGAGTGGGGACTTCTCTGAGGTCAGAAGTCGTTTTCCACGATCTGGCGTGACTGTAGAATGCTGCGCATTTCTTCAACGTCTCTCTGTGATCAATTCGTTGTGCTGCAGGTCCGACGGGTCCTCAAGGTCCTGGAGAAACCGTTTTCTTCTCAGCCAGGGCTGGAGCTTCCTGCCTGGGTGGGTTCACACAGGAGGACTGAACAGGGGGAGAGGGATGAAGGAGAGGAGCCACAGCAGGGGACCTCCTCCTCCTCCTCATCATCAACAGCCATGAACCCTGTGCCGTACGACAGCAAGCCCCCAGCATGGGCACGCCAAATCTGCGTCACCTGATCTTCATAAGCGCTTCCTTAATTGCTGTCCTGCCTAAAAGAACAAGAAAGTTGGAAAGTGTTGATCACTGACTTTTACCTTTTTTTTTTCCATCCCCTCGCCTCTTTGGCTCACTTTCCAACTTTCTTTTCAGCTTTGGCAAGGCAGCAGTGAGGGAGTTAAGAGAAGTGGCTCTTCACAGATTAGCATGATGACACAAAGCAGACGGGAGGATGGGAGGTGACTCTGTTCTTCCATTGCCTAAGATTTCCAAATTTAAACAGTTTGGGATTTATTTTTAGACGTTCATCAATGCAGATGACAAAAGCTGCGTTGGCTCAAGTCTTGGCTCTGAATGTAACGTGCAGGCAGGTTGCAGGAGGAACAGGTTTACAGAAAGCCAGCTCGGCTCTCCTACAGCCCGTCTGCTCAGTGTCACTTCTGCTATTTATGATGATTCAGGCAACAAGTCCCGCATTGACCTGCCTGCGTCTGACAAACTGTGGGGTTGTCACTTCCAGAATGTACCAAATATTATGAGGACTGTGTAAGATTAAAAAGGAGTGATTGCAGTCGAGAGAAACGCTAAAACCTCCACACACACACAAACACGCACAATGAGTTCAGTAAATGCTTCTTTTGTCCTCCTCACTGTGATCGCGCCTCTCTCTGTGGTTCAGGCCATCGTTTTCTTTTATTATTCTATTTTTACAGGTAGGTTTGAACGAGGAATGATTCATCTGGATGTGTCTGCTCGGGTTGAAAACGTATTTTTAGAAAAATAATGCAATTGGTGTAACTTTCAGGTAAATATATGGATATATGAAATGTCAAAAAAAAAAGAAGTAATTTTATCAATTGTAACTATTCCTGTTTTTGCTATTAAACAGACCTTTTAGCAGACCGTGTTGATTTCAGATTTTTACTTTGAATTTTACTTTTTTTCTTCTCTTACATTTCATTGCACTTTATGAAAAGTGTGGCATGAATATGGATTCTCCCTCTAATCTGATGCCTCTATATAAAATCCAAGACAGCCAGTTGTCTTCGCCGGTCACCCGAGCGTTAAAGGTGCCACAGAGCCGCGTTAAATCCCAAACCCCCAAAAAGAGCACGTGGTGAAATACTATGCAATCTAATGCTAGTGAAAGTGTTATTTTGATATGTCAAACTATTGCAGGACATTTGCATAAATATTCCTGTATCTAAACCGTTCAAAAATGATTAAATAACTTTGTCATTTTATTACAAAGCAAATTGAATGATGGTGATGTATTGAAACAACTGCCATGCGTGCATTTCTTTGTTTAAAGCATATTGCATATTCTGGTTACTTCCCATCTGCGGCCACCTTACTGACGATGTAGTAAGCAGAACTTGATTATTGCATACAGTGAAATCTCTCTCTTGAAAAAGCCCGGGGTGGGGATAACAGTTCAATCTTTCTGTGAGCATTAGGAAATTTCAAGCAGTTTTAAATGCACAGTAAAACAGCTGAATGTTCCTGTAAGCAGCGTTTTATAGCACTCTACTGAGTTGGATCGATACTCTTTCAGTTAAGCACACGGGGGGTGGGGGGTTGTTTATAAATGAATCAGTTTTTAAGAGTTCATTGAGTAATTTCTATTTCGTTTTCTCATCCTGTTTTAAATTATGTTTTGATATTTTGTGCTCTCCTGCATGTGCAAATGTGGATGAGGGTTTGTTTCAAGTTTGGAACTGGTACAACCTAAAACGCTGACATGCCAGCAAAGGACAAGCAGCCAAGAATCCCTTTGAAACTTTTGGGGAGCTGCAGAGTATCAGTAGATGGCTACTAGCTGGTCTTGATACAAACTAGCTTTTGCTGAAAACTGCCGAGAAGAAAGTCGTCGTGTTGAAATAAAGTAAACACGAAGAAGACGCTCTGGTCAGATATGTCCACGTTTAGCTTTATGGCCTGCATGCAAACTGTCATATGTGACAGAAAACCAACGCTGCGTAAAACACAACATCCAAACATGGTGTTGGCAGCATCATGACGTGGGGTTGCTTTTCTTCTTTGGGGACCGGGAGGGGATGAATACACCGAAAATTCAGTTGGAAGAAACTCCAAAAGCTTTAGTCTGGACTGGATATTTGCCTTCCAGGACCAGAAGGAATCATTTCTGTCATGTCACATAAATATGTGTTAGAAATGCCAATGTCCAGAACTAAAAGCTGATACTCTATGCCACTTAAATGTGAACCCACGCAGCGTGTTTCAGATCTGATATGAAACAAACTCCAAACTCCAGGAATGTGATTTGTGATGTAATATTTTGTGTTGGAAGCATCCAGCTAGATACTTTGAAGTTTGTAGCTGTGGCCAAATGTAAAAGAGGAGTGACATTTTTTTTTTTTTTTTTTTGCAAGGCAGTGTAAATAGTTACTCTCTTTTGTTGGCAGGCTAAGCTGACAATACACAACATCATGAAAAGGATTCCAGTTCCTTCTATTTCTGGTTGCGTGTCAGTGATGGATCTCTTTACAGCCTCGCTGTAACGTGCTGTGACGTTCATGTCCCAGCACGTCTTCAAATATTTACTGACTGACTGTACTCATGCACCCAGGAATCCTATTTAAAGCCGCCTTTTTTTTTTCTTTCTAGTTTCCAACTAACACTGTTCTTCACCTTTAATTATCGACCTCCCGCAGAAGTCGGGAGTGGCTTTTTTTTTTTTTTTTTTTGGCGACCTCAGGGTGCGCCCTGAACTGTGCTGCGCAGTGAGCGCATAGGTGGAATCTGGGACAATGACTGCGTAGCTCCGGAAGAGACAAAAGGATCAGAGGGGAAGGTGTTTGAGATACACGTCTCAACTGATACTTATCGCGCATCATGGCAAGGCGGGTCAGACCTGGCTTTTACCGACAAGAAATAAACAAAAGCGTATGGGAAGTACCGGACCGGTACCGCGACCTGATTCAGGTGGGGACCGGAGCGTACGGAACTGTGTGGTAAGTGAACTCCGGCGAAGTGGAAGAAGATGTTTTATTATAAGGCGTCGGACGCACTAAGGCAGGAGGCGAGGGAGGGTGGTGGTGGTGGGGGGGGGGGGGATGCGGGGCTGTCAAAAAAAGAGCGAACAGACGGTGCCGTCCAAGCAGACAGTCAGTGTTACAGCCAAACAAAAGAAAAAGTGTCCACGCTTGGCTAAACACACGCAGTTTCACTTCCTCATACGACGATGAAGACGCGCTCGCCGACACCTCCGCAGGAGCCGTTCTGACAGCACTTAGAAACCAGCGGGGGGGACAATCTGCTAGAATGTGAGCAGAGCATCGGCGGGTGAAATGTTTTTCTTGTGATCAGTGAAGTTTACAGCAGGGGATGGAAAGAGCCGCCGCCTTTCGTGCGTCTCACAGCGTGGGGGCCCCTTTATCAATGATTACAACTTGCGAGGACGGCACCGAACAGCTCCGCCCGAATCACCGAATACGACTTGATAACACCTGAACGAGTCTGGAAAAGCTGCGGAGGAATATAAGTTAAAAAAAAAAACACCAACAACAAAAAAACAGGTAGAAGACGGGGTTAAAAAAAAATAATAAAAAAAAAAATCATTTTTTGCTGCACGCCGTTTTGTTCCCGTATCACAGCAAAGTTCCTGCTCGGCTGCTATTTCCTCATACTGGCAGCGCTGCAGGCGGTCAGGTGATGTTGTTGTGCTGCGCTTCTTCCTGCAGCTCAGCGCTGGACTCCAGGACTGGAACCAGAGTGGCCATCAAGAAGCTCTACAGACCCTTCCAGTCCGAGGTGTTCGCCAAGCGGGCCTTCAGGGAGCTGAAGCTTCTCAAACACATGAAACACGAAAATGTGAGACACGACATCACTCTTTACTCTTCATTGCTTTTTTTTTTTTTTTTTTTTAACCTTTTATTTCAGTTGATTTTTGTAAGTGTGGGTTTCAGCTGATGAAAGTACCAGAAAATTAGAATATCACACATGAAATGCGTAAGTATTTTTGAAACTGAAATGTTAAGTTATTAACATTTGAACCGACACCCTTCACATCATGAAGGGCAAGCCACAAAAAATCACAACTAAAGAAGCTGATTGTTCAAAGAGGGTTGTATCCAAGCATACTGAAGGAAAGTTTACAGGAAGGAAAAAAGTGTGGTAGTTGAGAATCATTTAATAGTTTTATGGAGATTCACATGGTGTGGACTGGGGTGGTCACCGAAAGCCTGTCAGTGACTATCTGCTGGATAACCTTAGCAGTCTCCCTCATTATGTGCACACCATAATACAAGAGCCTCTGTTCTTATGAAGGATATTAATGGTCTTATTTAGTTAATCTTCCGTAAAACTGGCTTTTCACTAAAGCATCACATAAGCATCACTTTTGACAGAAATAAATGGTTAAAACACTTTTTCTAAAATATCGGTTGCATATTCCAATTTTTGGAGTTGCGCCTGTAGTCAGTTTCATTTATGCAGAATTAAAAACTGAGATCAGTGGCTGGTTGGCTCTCGTCATTGCAGACACTTACTGATATCTAATTAGCACAATGAATTAATCCAGTGTGTAATATCTTCTGCTCTCATGCAGGTGATTGGCCTTCTAGATGTGTTTACCGCAGACCTTTCTTTGGACCGATTCAAAGATTTGTAAGCATTCGTTTGTGGCCTCTCATCCTGGCACCGTCACAGAAATGCAGACGTCTTTGGCCACGTACTAAAGTGTGCTGTAAAAATCTGACACGGTCACAACCTGCTCTTCCCTTTCAAGCTGTCTGGTGATGCCGTTCATGGGAACTGATCTGGGGAAGCTGATGAAGAAGACCAAACTATCAGAAGAAAAAATCCAGTGTTTGGTTTATCAGACACTGAAAGGACTCAAGGTCTGAAACGGTTCACACAGGCTGTTTTTAATGTTTCGGCTGACTAAATGAATGCTCTTATTTCTCTTTCTTTCAGTACATCCATTCTGCTGGTATAATTCACAGGGTGGGTTTGTTACCTACGACGACAGAGACTTTCTTTCCTCCGAGCTGCTAATTTATGGCTTTTTGTGTCAACACTTTCAGGATCTCAAACCAGGAAATCTTGTCGTCAACCAAGACTGCGAGCTCAAGGTACGGCTCCCTGCATCACACTGTGGTTTAAACAAATCCTCCCCATCGCTTGCGTTTGACAGATTTGTCGGCACCCTCGTGATGATTTGAACAAAATGCAAAACCAACTGTTGTTGCAGGAAAAAAAAAAAAAGTGATCTTGCGATGAAATAATTGCGAAGAAAATCCGACCTTTTCCTTGAGAACAGTCATTTACTGGAGAAAACACAATTTAATTGTTTAAAAATAATCATAAGTGACACAATGGTTGTTTCCATAGAGATCTCCTCTGGACTCTTCATTTCTTTACCGTGCTCTCTTTTAGTTTAGCTTAACTCATGTTCTTTTTTCAAATGTAGGTGTGTGAACTGAAACAGCTGGTTTGTAGCATTTCTCTGATATATTTTAGATCGTTATTGTTCTGAAAAGCTCAGGTTTAGTTTCTTGGTGGTTTTTATTTCAAATGTTCTGGTCTTGTTGTGTAGAGTTCATGCTGCCATGCACTCTAACAATGTTCTCAGGACCTTTGGAAGAGAAACAGACCCCATCGATTCTCCACTGTGCTTAACGCTGAGCAGAAGGTGCTTTCCCACATATCTATATTTCATACCAGATGTCCTTGAAAACTCAGCCTGGGGTTTGTCGGACGAAGCCGTGCATCTCCAGTTAAAGTCCCAGAAAGGTTTAGCAAACTCTAAGCTGGATGAGGACAAAGGTAAACGCTTGTAGTTACAGTTAAGTTTTTTGTTGCACAAATGTATCCGTCAATTGTTGCTTTTGGCAGTAGAAAAGGGCAAGCAGCTGTGTATGAAAATCATCACAAATCTCCTCCACTTGAAGAGCATGTTCTCACCTCGGGGCCCAACATCCTGCGTGCTTTATACGTTTCTCTGTTGCCACGGATCTGATCTAAAGATATTTGTTCGGTAGCAAGTTTCATCAAAACTTTACTGCCTTGCTATTGAGGTGACGGAAACGGGATTCTGTTGCGTCATGTCGTATTTCTACACTTAAAAACTAGAAAGTCTGACTCCTACTAACTAGAACTTCAAAGAAAATCTCAATAAGTCATAAGGTAAAATCGTTAATAAACACTAACTTTTAGAGAGTTGTGATGGTGGTGGTTTTGCTAATCTTTACATGAGTTGTTGTCCAGAACAAATTAGAGGTAGCAATTGTAACATTTTTCATAGAGAGTCCTCCCCCCAGCCGTAACACAAAGATCAATTGAGATCATAAAACTAATTTACAATAGGACTAGTCAGGACACCGTCTGTTACCGTTTGTACTGCTGTAAAAGATTAATTTACCTTAAGGCTTTTAACACATTTCTACCTGACGGTGCCCAAATCTGCAGCTGTGTTTTATGATACCCAGTTCACGTAATTCTTCAATTATCTGCATTTATTGTCCTGATAGATCTTGGACTTTGGCTTAGCTCGGCAGGCGGACACTGAGATGACGGGCTACGTGGTGACCCGATGGTACAGAGCCCCGGAGGTCATCCTCAACTGGATGCACTACACACAGACGGGTAAATGTGTGGAGAAAGGTCCCGATACTGGCATTTCTTATCAGTGTGTTGTTCTCAGTAACTCTCATAAGCAAAAAACAACAACAACAAAAAAACAATGCTTCTTTTGTTTCAAAGTTTGGCATGAAATCTGTTTTTTGGTGTGTGAATCCTCCACTTTCTCAGGGTTTCTGCTGTCACAAGACGTTAGCATTTTTTTTTTTTTCTGTGAAAAAAAGTTTTGAAAAGTCTGAACTTGGAGAAAATATTTAATGTATGAAAGAAAAGACTCATGGTTGTTATTTTATACATATTCAGTGTGTTATTGGTGATGGTGAGTTTAGAAGTCGGCCATCATTCTGCTGTTACTGTGATTTAGAAATCAGAACATACTTGAAGTTCAGAGTAGACTCAGAAAACCAAATCACAAGACACAGTTTATCCACTAGGTGGAGCTGCCTTAACAGCCAGCACTGCAAATCTTGTTTCAGACACATTTCATGTCAAGTTGCAGATCAATGACCTTCGATTTTTATCATGCTATGTCTTTATCGGTGCTGCTTTGTCTGTTCCACAGTGGATATTTGGTCTGTGGGCTGCATCATGGCAGAGATGCTGCAAGGAAAACCCCTTTTTAAAGGCAGTGACCGTATCCTTTTTTTTTTTTTAACCAATCTCATCCTGAGGGTTTATGTTTTCTTTTATTTTCAGGATCAACTTGTACTCATCTGCTTTTTTTTTTTTTTTTTTTCTGGTTTTGAACCTTAACATTTCTCCTTAGACCTAGACCAGCTGAATCAGATCATGAAGGTCACAGGAACGCCGAGTCAAGAATTCATATCAAAACTAGACTCCGAGGATGTGAGTTCAGATTTTTTTAAAATGAGACTTTATAAATATGTGACGTACCAGATGTGTTTGGAATACATATAAGTTTATCCTGAGATTATCAAATACTTTCTCTTTAACCCCCGCCATGCTGATTAAATGCTGTCACCAGGAGCATGAACGTTAAATGATTTTGCAACAAACATCATCAGTGAATTAAAAACACCAACGCCAACTTTTCTCTGCCTATGTGTATGGCACAGTATCATGTGTATGTGTGGATTAACGTCATTAAGTATTTGCTTTCAGGCTAAAAGTTACCTCAAAAATCTCCAAAAAATAGAGAAGAGAGATCTTAAGACATTGTTTCCAACAGCTAGTTCCCAAGGTACAGTTTTCTTATTTGTATATTAAACATATATTTTGTTAAGTTTCCTTTTTTTGTTCTTATTTTCAGCCGTTTCTGCATTTTTCCTTCCTTTTTTTTTTTTTTTTCTAGCCCTGGCGGTGCTGGAGCGCATGCTTCTGCTAGATCCTGAGGAAAGAGTGACAGCTGTGGAGGCTCTGTCGTTGCCGTACTTTGCTGTATTTCGAGAACCGGCAGAGGAGACTGAGGCTCAGCCGTACGACAACTCGCATGAAGACAAGGAGTTGACTTTGGACCAGTGGAAACGTAAGGATGAAGCCCCATCACTGATCAATACTTTAAGAGGCCGATAAAATCAGCATTGAGGATGTAATTTCAGACCGATGGAGGGGATACGGGGTGTTCTACGTGACCTACGATGCTTTGCTGGAATACATTTCTGCTGTTCTTCTTTCTGCAGGTTGTGCCTTCACAGAGATCTTGAGCTTCCAGCGTACGCTGCTGGATGCAAAGGAAACGCCACTTTAAAGACGAGTGAACTACAGCGGAGGACCAAAACAAACTAATTCTGAACAAAGAGGACGTTTTGATTAATACCGGCCTGCTGCAGATGCAGATTTTAGGATTTTCTAAAGTAATTTGTTAAAGCGACGTCTCCAAGCTTGTCACTCCTACACAGCCAAGTGTTGTCGTTGCCCTCACCAACAGCTCTGAAGTGTTTTTGAGATGTCAGAAGGGCGTCTTCAGTTCAGACTAGTGGAAATTTAAGGAACATCTCCTCTTCAACGACAAGGAAACACCTGCACCTGAATCTGGAGGAAATCTTTGAGTTTCTGTGCAAACGGTTGCCATTTTCAAGCATTCCTTTCCGTTTAAGTTGTTCTTGATAGCTAAGTGTATCAAACTTTTTCAGACATATCTGGTACTATTCATTTCCTTCTTTCTGCTCCATCTCAAAAGGTCACTTGTGATTTTTTTTTTTTTTTTTTTTTAATTTGACACGAGCAAAAACCTGTCTGGTTACTAAACCAGAGCAATTTTTGCTTTGCTGTTTGAAAAGGCCACATCACCAGCAGCATGTCCAACACTGAAGTAAAGGCACTTACAAAAACTTTTACAGATTAAAAGTTATTAAAAAATAATAATAAAGGTATTATTATTATTTTTATTATTATTATTGCTATTTGTTTTTGCATTGAGTTGTAATAGATTTAACAATCTTAAAACAGAAATCATACATTTTTAACTTGCAGTCTTTTTTTATATTATGGGCAATGTGGCTCATTCATTCAGAGATGAATGGAGGCTCTTTAAAATGTAATTTAAAGTTTTATTTTGCCTTTCTTTTGGTTTTAAAAAAAAAACACACACAAAAAGAACATTTTTAATTTGTTTTGGTATTAAATGGTCACAAAACTAGGTTTATCTGGTTAAACCTGGACTGAATTTGATCTCTGGATGTATTAAGAGTTTGGAATTTGTGAAATTCCTTCATGAGCAAAAAAGGGGATTCTTGGTTTTCATGGAAATGTTGAAATCATTCTTGTAAATATGAATATGCGATAAGAGTGTTTTTTTGGGGGGGGGTTTTTTGTTTTTTTTTGCAGAAATGGATTTGTTAGGTTGTTTATGGGGATCAGTAAGGGGGCTCTCACCATTCCTACAGAAATCTTCTCTGCATTGAACTATTTGACTACTTTTTGATAAACACTGATCAGTCATGCATTACCACTAAAGTGGGCAGCATTATTTTCATAACTTTATTTGTTTTGCTTTTAAAATTCATTAAATTATCCAGAACATAGCAAATGTAAGAATTAATTTGAGTAACCACATTTTAATATTTAATATTTTTAACATTTAGTTTTACATAACTTCTCCATGCGCAATGGGTTTTTCCAATATCTTTTGACAGAAACGTTTGATTAGATGCTTTTTTTTTAACCTGTGCATTTGTATGAGTGGCCTTCTTGTTTCTACCAGGTGCCTTACAGATAGTAACCGATCACAAGTAGTGCTGAGCAGAACAAGGATTTTCTCACCAGGTTATGCGCAATAATCCACCTATTGATTAAAGAAAGTAAAAAAAAAAAAAAAAACATTCCTGATTCTGTTGTTTTTGTGAAACAATTACACAGGGCAGATTACCTGTAGAAATTGGTTAATCGATACTAAACTCTGTTCAGCACGTTCAGTGACGACATGCTGCACTTTGAGTCAGCTGGACATTGTAGCTCTTGACGTTTATTACTAGCAACACACGACGGATTTACAGTTTTCCTTCTTGCACTTTTGTAGTTGCATGTCTTTAAACTGTGTAGACAAGATGAATTAGAGAACAGAGCAAAACAAGAAAATGACATGTCATTTTAGTATAATTTTTGTATAATTTTCTTCAATTTTCATATGGATTTGTATTTCTCACTGAAAACCACCGATGTTTATTAAACATTGCTGGACTAAACAGTATATTCTGACACGTATCTGAGCTTAAATGAAGTTAACACTAGGTGGCAGCATCAAGACGAGCAAGATCCTGTTCACTCCAGGAATTCTCAAAGTTCTTAGTCCGTCTCGTTTCAGATTGAAATATCTTGACAGAGAGGGAATTTTCTTCCATGCAAGTTTACCCTTGTACTGAAAAATGCCAAAGAATAAATCTCAAGAGTTTCCACTGCGTCTTTGACTTTTCTTTCTGGTCCCACTATCGTCTCAAGCCCCTGATTTATTTTTTTATTTTTTTTTATCTAAATGTCAGCAAGATATAATTGTGTGACTAAAATATTGAAAACAATAGCCACTACATTTACGAAGCATTTGCATGCCAGTCCTGGCCCTGTGAACGTCAGAGCGTATACTTGTGTTCATCTCTTTGTGTCCGCTTTTATTTTTCTATTTTGTGTGATTAAATTGGTCAGAGATGAACTGCCATGGCAGCTGTTGCAGTGATTTATCATACTCCAGCCACCCCTGACAACCTCGTGTCCCCACCCACCCCCACCCACCCCTCTGCTGAATATGATTGATGATCTAAATAAAACCCCAAAAAACAAACAAAACAAAAAAAAAAAAACACGAATGTTTAAACATTCTTGCCGAATGCCTGTTTGCTTTGAGATTCTGCTCATTCTTCTGCGCGATTCTCCGCTGCTGGGTGTTGAATTTAGCAGTCTTGTCTCAAGTGACCTCCGGGGCCTTGACTCTCAGAGATGGCTCCCCAGCGGACGAGCTTCCTTCCTGGGGGTGAGGATTTCCAAATCAGACCCGTGCACACACACACACACACACACACACACACACACACACACACAGGCACATGCATTCGTGGGGTCAGGGTGCTGCTGGTTCACTAAAGAGTCACAGAGTTCTTTTTTTTTTTTCTGCAGGAGACAGATAAACAAGGGGGAAAGTACATTTTCTTTACCCCATAACCTTCCAAATGCAACAGCAAATGGAGTGACTGCCTCTTGTTTTCTGACCCTGTAGTCTATTTGTACAGTTCAGTGGATTTAAGCTCTAAGACAAACACGCCAAGAAGCGAGGAAAATACTTTTTTGTTGTTGTTGTTTTTGCGTCCAATAAACTTTAAAGCTGATGGACAGCTCGCAAGGTTTTGCTGTGAACTATGAGACTTTTTACACATATTTGGTTGAGTTCCTGGAAATAAGATGAATGTTTTTGTTTGTTTGCTTGTAAGGCTGTTTAAGTTTGACCTAAGACTTATTAACGCATGAAAGGCTTCTGCAATCAAAAGGGTGTCCAAGAGTTGAAATATTTGGCATTTTCTTACTGCCAATAAGTCACAAGCAATGTGAGCCCATATTTTCCCCATATTTTTAAGAGAATCTATGAAAAACGCCAAAGACAACACAGTTTAGCAGGAGCAGTAAAGTGAGCCAAACGATCAGATGGCTGAAAACTTGGCAGACATTATGTGATTAATCGTTCAAGTCCTGCTTTAGTTCTTTGCTGGACTTTTTTTTTTCTTTTTTTTTCAGCTTCTGCCAAATTTAAATAGTTAAAACTTTGATTGTTATTGATGAAAACGTCATTAAACAATCACACAGGCTCCTTAAAATCATTACATGCACTATAGCTTTCCAAAATGAATTGCCCTATAGTGCGTTGCAGAAATATTAAGTGATTTTCCTCTAACATTTATACATTTAGTCACATCACAACAACTAACAGTCTTGTATTTCTGTTTTACGTGATGGACCGACACAAAATGGCATATCGCTGTGAAGTGGAAAGATAAAAGAAAAAGTTTTTCACAAATAAGACTCTAAAAAGTGCAGAATTCATTACTGCCCAACCCTCTTTACTCTGAGACCCATAAAACCCAGAGCAATCAGTTTGCTTCTGAAATCCCTTAATTAGCGAACAGTTAACCTCAATCGGCAAATCTTCATGCATCTCAATTAGCACTGTTCAGCCGATTATTTGAAAGTGGACACAGCATGGCACAAGTGCAACCCTACCAATACATGGCTGTCCGTCTAAACTAATTAGTGGAGCAAGGGGCTCATTAATCAGAGAAAACAAAAACAGGGGTAAGAAGAAAGCCATTATTGAACAAAAAGAACATACTCATTCTGAGTTAGCCACAAGCCATGTGGGCGTGGTAGAAAATATGCGGAAGTTGTTGCTTTTGTCAGATGGAAACAAATTAAATTTTTAATTTTGTTTATCTGGATACCTGACCCTGGGAATGCACCCACAGTAAGAGACGATGGTGGCATAACAATGGTGTGGCGATGCTTTTCAACTCTTCAACGCCTGATAGAAATATGGATCAAGCTAAATACAGCTGTTTGAGATTTCAGAACATTTCAGACAGTGGTGGAGGTTGACCATCCAGAAGGACAGCAAATCCATACGTACAGCCAGAGCTTCAACAGAATGATATGTTATGTCTGAATGACCCAGGCTTAAATCCAAATAAAAATCTGTGCTAAGAGTTAAAGCTGGTACTCACACAAGCTCCTTTTAGAATATGAATATGATCTGCTTTTCATATTAGGCCTGGACAGAACGTCCAGTCTTGTGAAGAGAGCAAAGTTAGGACACAGGCAGGGCAACTCGGCATGGCTGAATACAAACGCACACACACACACAAAAAAAAAAAAAAAATATAAGCTATTCGTGTTTGTAGTTGGAACAAGGCAAATTGTAAAAAAAAAAAAAAAAAAAAATGTGAACACAAATGGAAACCCTTGACAGAGCAGAATCCAAAACAGAAATCCACACATTGACAGTGACTACAGAGGGAGCCCATGAGGAATGGCAGCAATGCTCAAACAGTGATCTGACCCGGGTCACTCTCCTTTCTTAGACTGGAATGTCAGCTATAACTGTGTTTATTTTATGTGTCTGGGGGATGGAGGGGCGTGGGGAGGGGGAGGCACGTCTCTGCAAATCTCACTACGGTACGATCCACGCAGTCGTCCAGGAATCTTGGATGTGCTCGCAGTCAATTTTCATTCCTCTGCATACCAAATTGAGAAGGATTAATATAACCGGGGTGAGCTTGGAAATGTCTTTTCTCTCTACAAAAGACAGGAATGCTGATAGCTGAAGAGGAGATAAATACACTTGAACCTGTAGCCCCTGTCGTTATTCTCATCAGGGAGCATCAGGCTGTATTGAAATGAATCACAGCGGAATGTCAGGAGTGAGAGGGTTTTTATCACCCAGATAATTTGCTCTGTCACGTCCTTGCTGGAGATAAAATATACTGATTCAAGGACTCACCAGAGATAAACTGACTGATTTTTTTTTTTTTGCCTGGAGGTGAAGTAAAAAGCCGTCAGCTTGCTGTCCATGCTAATATATTTGTCGAAGCTCTGAAATGTGACTTTAGATATTTAAAGATAGGATATGTGTGTTGAGAAAGATGAGAATGGGAATGTTTATTTGCTTCAAAAGTGTCAGTGTGGTTCTGCTTTATCAATCTGAAGTTTATGTGCAGGAATAACATGTTAACATAGGGTTTATATTTATCTAGGGGATCCATTTGAACAGATCGAATGAATATTGAAATTGAATAATAATATCAATAAACGTAACATTAGCATTGTATGATATTTTGGTGCTATTTTTCTCTAAACGACACATTTGAAATTAGACTTACAGGCTCAAATGAACAAATGTGTTCCCACAAATAGTTGCACGGATATTTATTAGCAATTTGTTAAGAAACCACACACCTTTTTGTCCTTCTGGAAGCTTAGCAACAGCACGTTCTAGCTATTTTTAAAGCAGTTCTGATGTGTGTTTGGGACAGCTGCCTTGTTGTAGCACCCAGCTGATCCTCAGATGCTCACCATGATGCTGCCATCACCGTGCTTAACACCTGGCGTTA